AAAAATGGAAGATAAGCAACCACCCAGGAGACTAGCTGTGAGGCGAACAATTTAGCATGAATCTGACTAAATATTTTTAGCTCTTGATTCCACTGTAAAAATGAACAGTTTTTGAAGGGGTGGGGGTCCACATCCTTAAATAGCCTTGCTCAAAATTGGGTCACACAGGAAGAGTCGAAGAACCGCGTACTGGCATACCTGTTCGCTTAATTAACTACTACTTTTCCAACTGTTTTCCTGCTCCCTAATTTTGCAAGCCGGACACATCAATAGTGTCACGTGTTCAGTGAAATCAATCCGTCAAACCTTAAGCATATTACTTCGGTCATTTCTGCGTTGTCATGCAACATGCGGACATATGCTCGAATAGAAGACCGTAATTTTACAGACGAAGCTCTGAAACTCCTAAGGAAAGAAAATGTTAAAGTTACCATATGCAATAGCAACAGCTACTTCATTAATTGTTTAAACAACATCATAGTCCGCCGAAATAACCGTAAACTGATTTGTATCAGCGACAAAGTCACAGATAATAGTTTAAATAATGAACGTTGTATTACACAAAGTACCTTCAAAAGTCACAAAGGTTACGTAAGACCTAATATAATACTAACGTAAGCATAAATAAAGGCTCTAATACAAATAATGCTGTACTACGAAATTCTAAAAAATATTAACTCACTCGGATGATTGAACAAAGTCGTGGGAAATATTAGATAAGAGAAACACAGAACACCGCTACCTGAAGCTCTGACCCACCTGTGAAGCTGTAGAAAACAGAAAATAACGAACAAGAATAAACGAATGGTAAGATGTGCAAACGGTGCATCCGCTAGCAAATCGTTAAGTTTGAATGAGAAAAGATATCCAGAACTGAGCAACGTGCGATATGAAAAAACGCCCCCGATGGTGAGAGAATACTGGCCTCATCAAAGAAACATTGTCTGAACAGGAACGTCAAGGAGACATTAATTATCCAGTTGTGCGAAAAAGTCAGCAATGAAAAACGATATGAAATT